AGCGCAATGCAAGATCAGCCTAACGATGCAGCAGAAAGAAAATACCAAAAAAGTGTGCACAAGGCCAGGACTGTTATGATTCAGGTAGTAGCAGCCTTTATCTTTTGGTTGTTGCCCATCATACTCATCCCAGTGTGCCGTAAGGCTGGGGAGAAATGTCCGTTTCCGACCGGGGAAACTGGGCTACCCTTTGCGGCTCCATTGCTGCTGGTTTTAAACTCGGCGATCAACCCAGTCGCAAGTATAATCCGCACGCCGGACTTACGACAGAGTCTCCGTCAAGATGTCACAGCTATCTATCGGGCACTTGTCACCATGGTACGGGGAAACCGCGTGAACCCACAGGACGAATAAACTCCCCCAAATCAGCCTGGCGGTACCGGGGCGGCCTCTGGGAGTGAACGGAACATGCCAACAGGCCAGCCCGCTACAGGACCGAAGGTGACTCGCTCTATAAACCAGGTCTTGCCATTGTAGAACTTGACTGGGAGAAATACTGCTGATGAACCTTTACAAAGAAAGACAAAAATGTTGACATCCGATGATATGGACGTCAGTGGCAAGTACATTCTAATCTTATCAATGATATTCTAAATTGCAATATAGGGTTTCCCAATGGATGCTTTTTATTCAGCAACATGACTTTGACTTTCCTGTCAGTTTCCCATGATTTCATCCGGTAGAATGTACATATATATGTACGTTATGACTTTGATGTCAGTTTCCCATGATTTTATCCGTCAGAATGTACATATAAATGTATGTTATGACTTTGCTCTGTCAGTTCCCCATGATTTTAACCAGCAGAATGTACATATGTTATGTATAATTATACCATCGATGTAAGTTCCCCCTGATTTTATCCGGTAGAAGGTACGTATGAATGTATGTTATATATACTTATACCATTGCTGTCAGTACCCCATGATTTTATCCAGCATAATGTACATATCAAAGTAGAGAGATTGTGCATACCTATATACTAGTTTGGTATTCCTAGCCGAAATTTTGCTTAAATCTGAAGATGTTTGCACATTAGTAATAAAGATGTTACAAAGCACTTCAAATTTCAAACGCGGTTGTCTCTTGCTTGGTTTACAACTGTCGTGGATATAATATACGTGTAGACATTGAATCAAAATAGCTTGGTGCATGCAGAAGAAATACCTTACAACAACAGAAGTGGAATCGTCCAAGATGGCCGCGTCTGCGTTTTGATCCTCTGATCTTCTCAGCTTTTACTATCTTTACGTCGATATAGTACACAGTAGTGCTTAATTCGCGGTGAAGTTGTAAACCTAAAACTTCCAGGCCAAGGCTGAACGTATTTCTGGGTCATTTTGAGCACTTTACTGACAACGAACGTCACCTTAGTCTGAAGCCAAACAACCGCAGCGGGCTCCATTAGTGGAGCCAACGCCGGTAAGTGTCTCGAAGGTTCAGATCCTGATCCTAGTTACAGTAACTGTTGCCATTTGTAGACTCCACTTTCAAGTATTCTCGCTGCCGCCCCCCTCCCTTGTTTTGTTGCAGTGTAGTACTTGGCGGGAAATTCCCAGGTGTGCGGCAAAGTAAATTAACAACAATGACTTTAGTTCTGGATAAAATGCCAATTTGAAAGCACTTTAATGGCACCATCAATATCAAGCCTGGGTATCTTTTTCCATTCTGTTGCTAACACCTCAAACATTCTGTGCTCTGGTCTTCAGTAAAACCGGCAACAGACCGCCAATCAGTAAACAAATTATGGGTTGATTAGCTTATTCTTCCAGCTTACCAAAGACGTACAGGAGATGAACACCAGTGTTCCATACAGCCAGTACATGAGTGATGAATGGTCGATTAATTTTCTTTGACGTATCAATAAAATAGTGAATATTTTAGAAAATTAAGAGAACCCCACCGTTGCTCACGTAGCCTTGTGTCGATACTGTCCCAGGGTTTTCTGTTGCTGTGAGTGTCGACCTGCCCCGCATGTTTGTTGTTGGCGATAAATGATGAGTTGTGGGTGTTCTGAAACGGGCCGGAGCTGTTGTTGTACCCCTGATAGCTCCTGTTGATATGAGGCTTTGACTGTGGCGTTGCGGCGCTGTTACGGTAGCTTCGCTTGATAACTGCCGGCGATTTTGCTCCGTTGAAACTCTTAATCTTGCCTCTGTCGATGATACGGCCACGGCAGGAGGTCCTGTACTGGCCCGCGCGGGTGGGGTGGTGCGGGTGGAACAGGTACAGTCGTTCTGAATCACTGGTGCGTCACTGGAGCAGGTGATATCTGTGCAGATCGACATGTCAGACAACAAACACAGACATGGAGACGTACTTTTCTTAGTGATGCTCAACATCAACTAAAACCAGTGTGTAACACCATTGACTCACTCCATACTTTACTATGTTATCTCCAGGTACGAACTTTAAGGTATTGTTTTGGGGGAATTTTCTGTATTTTTTTAGTCTGTTGGTAGGTATTTGAATTTGCAGTAGAGTGGTAGGAAGTGGGGGAGATTTGGTTACCACAGATTGCTCTTCAGATCAAGTTGGCAGACTGGGAGGAGGTGAGTCCAACCACCCTGTCACCCTGCAAGGTTCCTGCTAAGCCCGTTGAAAGTACACCAAACCACCTCTTTGCTTTTGCACACAAATTCACAAAAAAATCCTAAATACTGCCCAGAGGTTTGAAATCTCCGATTTCTTGTTGAATTTTAAAGGTACATGTAGTTTAATAGTACTTACGCTTTTCACAAATGACATGTGCTGTGGGTGTTTCACCGGAACAGCTGACTGACTCCCACGTCACGGTGTCCCTGCCTTTCCGCAGCAGTGTGCAGCCGCCGTCTCCGCGCACAGTCACCCCGCCCAGCGCCGTACTGTTGAACGGGACGCCATCCACCCAGGCACGGTGCCCCAACTGATGGGTCGAAAGGTTTAATAACAAATATGTTACCCCCGAGTATGTAGTATGTACGGATATATACACGTGGGTTCTTGTTTACCAATATGTTTACATGTATTAGCATGAAAGCTCAGCGTGAAGTTTGATGAACACAGCAAATACAGCTCATCTCAGATTTCTTTATCATTCTATCACAAGGATCCATGTTACTTCTTCTGCTTCCTATGCAACCGACACTGGTACAACGTTACATTGGATGGAAAGGTAATTTAAACTAGAAAGGAAACATTTGAAAAGCAAATGCATAATGTTTACCTTCGCACATGGTCTGCTCTGGTGATTCTTACTCAAATACATTCATGTATATGGTCAGACAGGAGTCTAAATCCCTCCTACTATAAGATTGCAACATTATGTAACCCAACATTATTGGTTATTGGCCAGGTCAGAGGTTAGTGTTTGGAGAAGAAGAAGAGGAAGAGGAAACTGAGCAAAAACAATATGTTTTCCTTCGGGAAACATAATAAAAAGTGTACTCGCCCTGTTTCTGGTCAGACCAATCCACGAATCCTCACAGATCAGCGACTCGATGAACCCTCTGGCTGTTGCCGTGTGGATTGTGACCAGCTGTGTTTCATCACGAGCACACAAGTCCCTCGCCCCGGCGAAGTTTGTCTGTACTCTGTACACCCTGGAGCACCTCTGGGCCTCAGAACGCCAGCAGTATTGTAGGGGATTTGATGGACAACCTAGACAGGGCACCAACAAATCATAGATTACACCACGATGTAGAATTCTGTTGTGTTATTTAAGAAAATAACGCGAAAATACTAGTAATATATTAAAATATTTTGAATGCTGAGGAGGTTTAAAAGATCTACATCGATATCAGGGCATTCCAACCTTCTCTCAACCGGGTAAGGTAAGGGCTCAACCGGGACGGGGGTCGGTACCGACTTCCGACGAACTTTGACCCGTTGCTGACGTCACACGTGGGAAAAAACCACGTGTCTACAGCACTCTGGTCAGAAAGCTGATGAACTACGAGCGATTCGGTCGAAACTTAATACATCTTTGAAAAAGGTGCAGTACCTTTAAATAAATTGGCTTCACATAAATTGGAGCAACACAAGATACACATTCATGTTGTCAGACACACCAGAAATTTATACGTAAATCAGTTGTAAAATGAATACGGTCTAAAATCACTTACCAGGGAAAAGTGTATTAACCCAGTAGTCAGAGTAGGGGCTGCAACAACATACAAGAACATTTGTTATAGGCATGTCGGATGTACTTTCAAGGCGACATTAAAAGAAAGATATTCTGGATGATAAAATCTGTCTGATGGTGACATTTAATGCAATTTCTTCGAACATTTTCGACATCATTTCAAACTTGAAGCCCAAGACAAGCTACTTGAGGAGTCTCTTTATTTTCATACCACCAATAAATAGCTAGAACCAATAGCTACGAAACATGCAACATTTATCTGCAGTGTGTTACTATTAGGTTTAGTGTATGAAAAAAAAAAGAACTCACCACCAAGGTATGACGGTATCGGTAGCTGTTGTTACTGTGACAGCTGACATCAACAGCAGAACAAACATCTTGTGTAAAATACACAGTCCGCCGGCTAAGTATTTCATGATCATAAAATCAGGATCATCAAACCACATTGCACCACAATTCCGTATGAGTATACATACCGGTCAGTCAGCCAAACCGGTATCCGTATCAGTATATCAATATAGTTTGTGCAACCGATCTTTGGAGTAACACAGTCGGCCATGAAAATCGTAGCCGACAAATACATACTCTCCAAGCAGAGGTTGTGGGGGAATGATCGTTACCTTTTTATATATGGCCGTTTTTTGTCGCTACCCCCACCAACGGCGACCTTCTCTGGCTAATGGATACTGCCTGGCTAATTTGATACTGTCTTTTTGCCACCGAAAGGGATCTGCTTGGAGATTAACAAATACAGGCTAGGGTACAGTTGAACATAAACAGGCACAACAATTGCAAGTCCTTCAACTTTCAACATAGATGGTAAGCAAAATCGTCTATGACAGCAAAAGAATTAAGGAATAAAATACTCCCTGGCAAATGGATACTACCTGGACAGTTTGATACAGTCTTTGCAGCCACCAAAACCTGCTTGGAGATCGATCATTTGTGTGCGTGTGGTCCGGGACATTACATTATATGAATTCATGGTTCAATTTACTCCAATCCGTCATTCCCTGACATTCGTACAATTATCCAATCAGGGGGCAGGACACGAGGGAGTTGGTTGAAGAAACGTCGTCTCCCTGAATACCTCGTCTCACGATCTACGTCTCAAATTGGGGGTATGAGTCACATTTTTGTGCTGTTATCAGCTTATGCCTGACTATGATTTAGGCCACACCAATTTAATTTCTT